AAGGCGCCTAATTTAAAATTGTATTATAATGCAGTGGCTTTTAACATTGATTAGTGATTGGCTTAATTTAACTAATAAAAATATACTTTTTCTTGAGGGATGGGATTTATTATATGGATGACATGCATATTTAATTTATAATAAAAAGTAGATCAGGTTTTTAAATCTCATATTTTAAGAAATGCTTTATTGCGTGTCTGGAAGAAGTATTACTATAGGTTAACTATAAAATTCCAATTTGGGGAATTCCTGGACATGCGATAGAGGGGGTATCTAGGAAAGTGAATTTGGATAGGATTTCTTATAAGGAATTACTTAGTTTGGTAGGGAAGGATTGCCAATTAAAAGCTTTAGCTGAATTGAAGCAAGAAAATATTGTACATTCTTGGTTTCAGTACAACCAACTGTTAGTGAGGTGGAGTTTAGATCAAAAGGTTGGTATTACTTTACAGGATGTGAATTTGGTAAAACAGATTAAAGATAAAACTCGAGCCCATATAAAGAGAATTTATAATGTTTTAATAGAATTGGATTCTAAAACGGAGTTAGTTAAAGATTGTATGGTAAAATGGGCTCAAAATATTCAAGAACCAATTCTGTTGGACACATGGGAGACAATTTGGGTTAGAAATGTAAAATTTACTCAAGCTCAACATTTAAGAGAAAATTTTTATAAAATGTTTTATAGGTGGCATTTGGATCCTCAAAAGCTGTCCTGTATGTATCCTAACTTACAGCCCAAATGTTGGAGATGTGGAAGCTTAGATGCAACTTATTATCATATTTGGTGGACTTGTAAAGATATAAAAGCTTTTTGGATTAAGATTTGGTGGAATATTCAAAAGATTTTTAAGAGAAAGATAAAGTTTATACCGCAATTATTTTTGTTAGGTGTTATTGTAGATCTTGATGTTAAAGAAATTAATTTGATGTTGAATCTGGTAACAGCTGCAAGGTTATTGGTGGGGCAATATTGGAAGAAAAATTCTTTGCCTACTATGGAGGAATGGATACTTAAGTTGTCTAATTTAGCAGAAATGGCAAAAATCTCCGCATATCTGAAGGATTATTCACAAGAAAAATAAAAGAATAAAAAAAACAGAGAAGAAGCACGACATTTCTTTTGAATGTTTTCCAATGCTAACAATTATTTTTTTCAGTAATGAGGGAGAAATTTTCTAAATCTTTACCAAGGAAGCATTCTGTTTTGTTGAGATTTTTATTTCAAATATAAGAATAGTCCTCTACCTTTAAGCAGGCTCCAGTTATATGATGCCATGAAAACACACAGCAGCCGTCATATCATTATTGGGCATTATCCTGACAGTCTCTATCATATTATTGATTTTTATTGCATTTAACAATATAGTTTCAATTGTATGTATGTACACAATAGTGTTTTTGTTGAATAGTAGAGGGAAAAAGATAAACTGAGTACATTGTTTCCTATTATGAGATGCTAAATTAGAATTGCTAAGCAACATATTCAGCAGTAATGGAGTAAATTCAGTGTATGCTAAAGGTTATTTGTTTAATAATTCATAATCCACGCAAAAAGTCTGTGTCACTGATAAGGGAAAATTACTTACCAGCATAAAAATTTGTTGTTAGCCCTTCTGCTCTCCAATCCTATGAAAAGTTTCAGAGAGAAAAAAATCAGTCTTGTGGTATCAGCTACCATAGGAAGGAGGCGAGAATGGTGAAAGAATTTTTCTAGGATTAACAATGGACTTGCAAAGTGACTGAGCCTTAATCCAGAATGGATAGTCCATGAAAAAAAGAAGTTATGGGATTTCAGTAATAGCATGAGAGAACATGGGTTCTGAAAAAAATTAAATTAGCATCCTTTATTATGTGGTTCCACTTTCTTCTACTCTGCAGAAGATTCCTGACAATCCGGGAAAGAGCTTAAGGAACACAATGAATAATGTGGGTTTCTGTATCCTAGTGATAAAATAGTGTGTACCACACATAAATGTAATTGACTCTAGTAGAATATCTTAAATTACATCCATATTCAAGAAGTACTTTTGCAAAAATCTGAATAAAAAATGTTTAAGTTCTCCTTAGACATCTATTGAACATGTAAGCTGAAATATTTGCAGCTTAGTTATAAGTGACACTTTTTGGTTGTAATGAATAAATCACAAAATAGAACATTAGTAAGTATTAAATGTTTAATGGCTTCTTAAATATATTTTATAGATGTAGAATGTGCATACAAAATGAGTGGCACCTTATATAAGAATGGCAGGATATCTTAAAGCTTTGGAAAAGTTAGGATTTTTAATTCGATTTTTTTAGAGTGCAAATGTTAGATCAACTATTTTAGGCAAATGTATGCACTGAAGTTCAAACATATCCCTGAACTGAGTAGTTACAAAAATACTGTTAATGAAGTGGGTTTTTGTTGATGGTGTTCCTAGGAGGAGAGACTCAAAGATTTAATGTGCCATTGATCTAAGACACAGAAAGCTAATTGCAAAATTAATTAAAATTAATTTAAGTAAATAACCCAAATTTGTTTAATATTTATTGATTTACTAAGATTTAACAGAAGTAATCTGAATTAGGTAGTCAGCAGAAACTAAATTTCAAAAAGAAAAATGTTCAAGAAAAGCAATGTAAGAAATAAAATGTTACAGATTTTGTACAAAATTGAACTCAGCCGGAATTAAATGCTGCCTTCTAAATGAACTCCACTTAGTAAAATAATAAGGTCATCATTCTAATAATTATGTTCTGCAACAACTTCTACATATAGCATTTACAAAAATAATATCTCTTCTAAATATCCTTTATTTCCAGGAAAACAAGATGTGAAATAGATATGTGAAAACAAAAAAGATCAAAACGAATCAGAGTGATTTTATTTCCTTTTCAGAAATTAAGAAAAGTATCTTCAAGACATATTCTCCCAAATTTCCATTCATAAGTTATTAAGACTGATTAATTAAGAGTTAGTAAGAATAACATGATTTCTCTTGATTTTGCTTTTTTATTATTGGAAGTTTGGAAAACAAGTCTTAACTTCAAGAAAACTATATAAAATAATTAATTGGAACAAAAACTTATATGTGATAAGTTAGAGTTAGAAAGACAGTTAAAAATAATTACAGGGAGAACATGCATAAAGACCATGATCGTTAGCAGGTAAAAGTAAGAGATGAAGAAAGTGTCAAAGTCTTGCTATAACAACATAGAACTGGTGACGTAGAACTAGAGACACTATTGCACATGGAACCAGAAGGACAAACAACTGATTATATAGTGGAAATTGCTTTTTAAGTTATGATTTATTTTTTTCTGAAGCTGTTAAAAACTAATTTTAAGGCATGACAAAGGAATACATAATACTAACTGTATCAAGTACAACTAGATATGTTAGATATAGCCTTATTAAGAATGAAAGTGATACTGATTTCCTACAAAAGCAATGAAAAAAAAATCTTTGTCTGTCTCAAAAGGTTCCATTGTTAATCAAGATGGGAGTTCAAAAACTGTGAGGACACAATTCCATAGACAGGTCCATGCCATACTAATCCATTTTTCAAAAAAAAAAAAAAAAAAAAGCATAGTAGCTCTGAAGGTATGTATAGAATTGTAAGATGAAGTAACCTGATTCTAAGTTGTTTATGTTTTATCATTTTGAAATCTCTAAGTAATTTACATAGGTTTTTAATGGTTTCATTATCTAATCAGGTACATACTTGCTTTATTTTAAGAGGAGAAAAATATACAAGCTCTCTTAAAAGTCAGAACAAGCACAAGAGAAATTAAAGCAATACATAAGATGTTTCAATGACAGGGTTCACTAAAGCAGCAATAAATTATGAATTGGAATCTTCTGCAGATAACCATAATAAAAGTATTTTGGGACTTCTCTGGCTCTTAAAGTGTCAGAACTTACAAACATCAATGCCTCCTGTTTCCTTGGCTTATCTTTATATAACATCTTGGGGAGGTTTTCATTCTCCTTCTTTCCGTAATTTCACAAATCAAGTACTGAAACAACAAAATAGATCTGGTCTTCATATTTTGAAGAATGGAGACAAGGTTACAGGAGGCTTGTTTTAAATGAAACACTTTTTTAATTGATTCTTTGCCTCCATAGATCCTGGTAGAGAGCACCATAAGACTGATTGTCTGAAATCTAGCGCAGGATGGGAGAAGGAGGAAAGAACTTGCTTTGAAAGATAACCAAACATTTATAAGTAAATTATGTTTGAGATCAAATAGCAATAATTTAGTATATGAACAACTCCCCCTTAAGAAAATAATATATAGTTCATATTTTGATTTTCTTTTACTAAATCATACTTCAGTGAAATAAAACTACTTGACTTCTTCACCCTATGCAAATAACATATCCAGAGGAATAAAAATGTGGAAAATCATATCCATTGGTCTCAGGCTATAAATATAGGAATGGATGAATATTTTATATGTCAAAGGTGAGAGCAAATTAACATGATTTACCTACTCTCCACATTCTTTCAATAGGTTATCTACTAAGAGGACCTTTAAAGTGACATTGTTAACTAGCAACAGAATAAGATCACTGATGTAATGCATTGTTTTTCTATAAAGTGGAGTTTTTGCTGATGAAATGAACACATTCAGCTTTTCTCCTAGTTCACAAAGTCAATCACGTTTCTTCACTCCAACTATAGCTATGTAAGATAATGCAAGGCATTCTGGGATCCTAAAAATCTTTCAACAGAATTACAAAAAGTCAATTAGCATGACAGGTACTGAGTCAGGTACTTATAATTGCTAATAACAATTCAGATTCCTTAATTTTGATCCAATGAATTTCTACCAAATTGCAGTATGTTAAATACCAGATCATAAAGAATTTTTAAAAGAAATATATTTAAAATATTTACAGTGATATAGTTTTACATGTGATGTTTTTGTGGAAAAAGAAATGAATGATTAAAATGTGAAAATGGATAAAATAATCATTTTATATTTTAAGCAGGTTTATTTTTATTTACCTCCTCCCCATCTCAGACATCTGGCTAAATCATTCCCTGTTTCAAGAGGGAGAATAGCAACAGGAGGATGCTTAATCAAATTTGCTTTTTCTGTAAATAAAAATTGTAGGCATAGTTTAAGACAAATAGCAGATGAGGCAGCACATAGATATAAAAATTTACTATATTAATATTGTGGTTAGATATTGTTTTAATAAAAAAATTGGGTCCTTAAAATCTATTAATACATATCAAATGAGAAGGAATTTGCCAGTAGTCTACAAGAGGAAATTACTATCTCCTCAAAACTATTTTTTATCATTTAGGATATAGATTATGAAACTAATTATCATGAGCTAAAATCAATGGGGGGGGAGAAATCAGTGATTATGGTACTTGATGACTCACAAAGATAAATGCACCCTAGCAATATATTGCATTTTGGATTGAGAACTGTAGAATATTTACAAGACAGTCTATGATAAATTATCAGTGTTTCCATTAGCCATAGACCAAAGCATAACAGATATCAGTGAAATTATATAGAAATTAAGAAGAAATAGAAAACTACTGTAGATAAACAGCAGTATTTAATGCATAGCAGAAGTCAAAAAGCTTTAAGCTGGTCCTATTTTGTAACGCAAAATTCATTTGCCACTGACAGTTAATGACCACACAGAATTCTTGCAGCTTTATATTACAACTTCCTTATATGTTCCCATTGCCTGGGCATTGATTGGCTACAAATCCATAATCAAGGCATTTGCTAGGAGCAAGAGATGATTTCTCTGCCATCTCAGTAGCATTTCAGACTTCTTAAAGTCAGACTTCTTAAAGACTTCTCCCAGTTCAGCTCTCTAAATTCTCTTCCTTGTCAGAAAAACATGCATTGATTTTTTTTTTTGGGGGGGGGGAGAAAGCAAGTACATATTCTTATCACCAGCTACTAATTGTATCATCACCTAGAAGAAGAATATGAAATAGAATGCATTCTATATTATAGAAGCAGGAGAAGATAGAATAGAATAGAATAGAATAGAATAGAATAGAATAGAATAGAATAGAATAGAATAGAATAGAATAGAATAGAGTAGAGTAGAGTAGAGTAGTAGGGTAGGGTAGGGTAGGGTAGGGTAGGGTAGGGTAGGGTAGGGTAGGGTAGAGTAGAATAGAATAGAATAGAATAGAATAGAATAGAATAGAATAGAATAGAATAGAATAGAATAGAATAGAATAGAATAGAATAGGAATCCGGAAGGAACCTTGGAGGTCTTCCAGTCCATCCCCCTCCTCAAGCAGGAAAATCTATACCATCTCAGACAGGTGATTGTCTACTCTCTTCATAAAAGTCTCCAGTGATGGAGTGCCCACGATTTCAGGAGGCAAGCTGTTTCACTGGTTGATTGTCCTCACTGTCAGGAAGCTTCTCCTTAATTCCAGGTTGCTTCTGTCTTTGATCAGTTTATAACCATTGTTTCTTGTCCCTCTCTCTGGTGAACAAAGTGACCCCTACTTCCTTGTAGCAGCCCCTCAGATACTGGAATACTGCTATCATGTCTCCCCTATTTCTTCTTTTATTTAGACTAGTCACTAGCCAAGCCCAAGTCCTGCAGCCATTTTTCATATGTTTTAGTCTCCAGGCCTTTGATCATCTTAGTTGCTCTTCTCTGAATTTTTTTCCAAACTCTCAAATCTTTTTTGATATGGTGACCATAATTGGCTGCAGTATTCCAGGTGTGATCTTACTAGGGTTTTATAAGTGGTATTAATACTTCACATGATCTTGATTCTATACCTCTGTTTATACAACCCAGGATTGTATTAGTTTTTTTGGTTATTGCTGCACACTGCCGGCTCAGAGTCAAGTGATCATACGAGGACCCCAAGGTCCATCTCACAGTTACTGTTTTTAAGTCAATCTGTACTTGTACCTTTGATTTTTCCTACCTAAATATAAAACTTTGCTTTCCTCCACATTGAAACTCATTTTGTTGGATAGGGCCCATTGTTCAAGTTTGTGTAGATCTTTTTGGATCCTCAGTTTGTCTTCTGGGGTGTTGGCTACTCCTGTCAGTTTGGTGTCATCTACAAATTTGATGGGTTCGCCTTCAATTCTAAGTCATTTATGAAGATATTGAACAGTACTGGGTGTAAGACAGAACCTTGTGGTACCCCACTCCTTACTTCTCTCCATGTGGATGTAGTACGATTGAGGACTATTCACTGAGTACAGTTTGTCAGCCAGCTACAGATCCATCTGGTTGTGATGTTGTCTATTCCACCTTTTCTAGTTTACCAAGGAGTAGGTTGTAGTCTACTTTATCAAATGCCTTACTGAAATCTAAGTATACTACATCCACAGCATTTCACTGGTCTACTAATTTAGTCACTTTATCAAAGAATGAAATAAAATTGGTTTGGCATGATCTGTTTTTAACAAACCCGTGCTGGCTACTGGTTATGACTTTGTTTGCTTCTGGTTGTTCGCAGATCTGTTTTTTTATTATCTTTGTAGGATCTACTCAGGCATTGATTAGTCTGTAGTTTCCTGGGTCCATTTTTTTCCTTTCTTGAAGATGGGAACTACATGATCCCTTTTCCAATCCTCAGGTACTTCCTTGATGCTCCAGGATGTATGAAAGATGTGGTACAATGGTTCTGAGATAACATCTGCCAGTTCTTTCAGAACTTTGGGATGTTATATGTTGGGTCCCAGTGATTTATATTAGTCAAGGTCGGATAGGTATTCTCTTACCATTTTCTTATTTTAATTTTTGTTTCTAGTATGTCTTTTGCTGTGGTTTTTTTTTTTGGTATGTTGGGGTGTAATTTCTTTTTGTATAAAGACTGAGACAAAGTATGAGTTAAGCAGCTCTACTTTCTCCCTGTTGCCTGTTATTTCCTTGACATCTCTCTTTAATGGGCCTACACTTTCCTTGACTTTTTTCTTGTTGTTAATATGTTAGAAGAAACTTTTTATTATCCTTGATTCTGTTGAAAGTCTCTCTTCTTTGCTTTCCTGACTTTGTATTTGTCCCTTTTGTCTTTCAGTTTGTCAGAGAAATCTTTGTGCAGCCATACTGGTTTCTTCTTGAATTTCTTGTTTTTCTTTCTCAATGGTATTGTGCTGATCTGGGCTTTTATGATTGCATTTTTCAGGGTTTCCCACACTTCTTGGGTTGTTTTCCCCTTTAAGATTTTCATCCATGGGATCTTTCCTAGATTCTCTTTGAGTTTATTAAAGTCAGATTTTTTGAAGTTAAAGACTCTGTTTTCTATTGCTAGTGTTTGCATTATATTAAATTCCAGTATGATGTGGTCACTTTCACCCAAGTTCCAGCAATTTCAATTCCCTCTATCACTTCTTCTCTATTTGTAAGGATTAAGTCCAATAAAGCTTTATGTCTAGTTCTCTCCTCCACCTTTTGGGTGACAAAGTTGTCAGCGAGGTTGATTAGGAATCTGCTCTCCCGCTCACTACAGAGATTGTCTCCAGTTGATATCTGGATAGTTGAAGTTTCCTATTACTACTGTGGTATGCTTCCTACACATGTTTGTTAACTGGTTGGCAAAGAGTTCATCTATTTCTTCTGATTGGTTGGGTAGCCTGTAATATACACCTATGGCAATGTCACTTTTTTTTCTCTTTTATATTGACCCATTCTGGAGAGATTTTATCTTTGATCATGTACATTTCTGAAGATATGTAGTGTTCTCTTACATATAGTGCAATTCCCCCTCCTCTTTTTGTAGACCTGTTTGTTTTGAACAATTTGTATCCATTCATTAGTTATTTCCATTCATGGGTTTTATCCCACCAGGTTTCTGTTATGCTAACTATGTCATACCCTCCCTCATGTACTATTGCTTCAAGTCCACCCTGTTTGTTCCCCAAGCTTTGAGCATTTGTATATGTAGCGCCACCCCCGTAGGGACTGATTAAGTCCGGGCTGTCCTGACCTCCTCTCCAAGTAAATATATAAGCATTTAAGACTTTTATGCCTGTCCATGGGTATGTTTCCTGTATCTCCAGATTGTTGTTTAAGGTTTTTTTTTTTTCATCACTGCCTACCTCATTGTTTGATTTGTTTTCTTGGGATTTGTGATTGGTTTGGGGTTCTAGAGAATCTAGAGATTGGTCACCTTCCCCCTTCAGTTTTAGTTTAAAGCCCTCCTGATGAGTTGGACCAATCTTTTTCCAAGTATATTTTTGCCTGTTTCATGAGGTGAAGCCCATCCCTGCCAAGAGTCCTTTGCGTAGGAAATACAGTCCATGATCCAGAAAACCAAAGTTTTCATGGAGACACCAACCCTTTAGCGAATAGTTTATTTCTAAAATTCTTTTTTCCTTCAGTGGGCATTGGCCTTTCATTGGGAGTACTGATGAGAATACTACTTGTGCTCCTAGCTTCTTAACTTTATTGTCTAGTTGTTTGTAATCTCTCACTTTTATACTCAGGTTGTTTGTTGTGTCCTTCGTCCCAATGTGGTGGAGGAGGAAGAGATAGTAATCTGTAATTATTTTGGTTAGGTTCTCAGCCATATCTTTGATTTTTGAGAATTGCTTGTGCAGCCTTTTCCAGTTAGCTTTAATTTTCCTTCTCAAGGGAAACTTGTATTTCCTTTTTCAATGAACAGAAGATTTTTCAGGAATATTGGTGAGTACTTTGTCTCATGGTTTCTGTAGATAGAAACTACCTAAGCTCTGCATTTTTAAAACATTATTTACCAAACCAGGGTTTAGACGTTGTATCACAATTATTCTGTAACGGAGTATAGTTGGATTTTAAACATGCTAGCACAGAGAAAGTAATTTATTGGAAACTATCAGGATTTCCTTTGCATTTTTGTAGTTCTAATACACAGTTTAACCTGTAAGAGAATATATATGGTTCCAAACATTTTGGTGATCCTTTCTAATATTAAATTTTATATAAAATTGCCATTTAATAAACATTAAAACAGGTAGAACAGCACCAAATATGAAAAATGAAATATAAGAAACACAATTTTTTAAAAGTAATTTGTCTTAAATCAAAAATCTTAACACATTTATAAAAACTGTTATTCTGTATACTGAGTTAACTCTTATTCTTATTTCTAGTTATATTTTAAATTTCATTCAATGACATAAGCTTTTGCATGTCTATTTTTAATTGCTAGTCTTTATTTCTATGTTTTTTCCCCAAGTATTATTTCTATCTTCCTCTCAAAATAATAATTTCATGCATGTCGCATATTATAAACCATTTCTAATTGAAAGAATTGTTCATCTTTCTTAATGCTACCTAGATATAAATAAGCACTTCAATTTAAAAAATACAACTAAAAGGTAAACAACACAAGGATTTAGTAAGGCTCCTAGTCCAAATTCAATTGAATTTGTATTTTGCATCACCTGACCATGACAGATCTGGTTTTTCACCTTGAGACAGATAGTGAAAGGTTTACAAACCGTTGCTGGAAATATATAATTTCATAAAATATTATAATTTTAGTATTGGAATGGATTATATCACTTCCATACAAACTTTTTAGGGAAGGGGTTAAAAAAAACCAAATACATACACAATCAATATAACACACACATACTCCTTATTATTCATAATACCCCAGAAAAATCAAACAAATCCTTAGCTTATGCTTTGGATGCAGCAGAAGCCTCTGCCACTGCTGCAGCAGTGTCCATCAAATATCCTTCCCCCAATATTCATTGTACCCAGATCCTTCTGTCCAAAATCTTATCAAACTTTCATTCATGGATCCATCTGTTATATAAATTATAACAGCAGATCTGGATAATTTTCACCCAGTCTCGAAGATTCCCTTTTTCGGGAAGGTGGTTGCTTTCAACTCCAGAGTAAGTGGATTATATGGACACTTTTCAGTCAGGATTCTTGGCCCCACTTGATTTCTCAATAGCTTTAATACTATCAATCATGGCTTCTTTCTGACCTGAATCTGGGGATTGGAGTGAGAGGCACTGCAAAGGTTCTCCTCCCATTTTCAAATCAAGTTCCAGTTAGTATTGGGTGGGGAAGAAGTTGAGCCCAAGGCCCACAGTTTATGGGGTATCTTAGAGCCCTTCTCTCTCCCCACTCCTATTTAGCATATATATGAGAACCTGGGTAAAGTCATCCATCCCCTGGTGGTTGGAGATATGAGGATCTACATGGGAGGCAACAGGCTTTTTGTTCAACTCTGGCAAGACTGATTGGCTCTGTGGTTTATGGCCTGCCGGTACTGATAGTGGAGAAAGGCCTGCAGATATGCGGTGTGAGAAGAAAAGCAGATCTAAGGACTATGAGGACTCAAAGAAATGGGAAGCAGAGGAAGAGTGTCTCAGGGGTGGGAAAGTTCAGGAAAAGCAAGCCTGGGCCTATGCTTGCCTCCTAGGGTTCCTCAGCCCTGAGGCTCTACTTGATAACCAGTATGGTCAATGAACAAGCACATTAGGGACAGCAAGGATGGGAGTCATTAAGTAAGATGATCATGTTGCTACTTCACTTAACGACCATCATGATTTGTAATATAATGGGCAGGAGACATAACAATTATAGGTCAAGAACTGCCTGTATGCAGTTATATACACAAATATGTATTATTTCTTAAATATTAATATATTGATTGATCTTACATAAATTTTGCACTATGCATCCAGGTCAGGTTATCTGTTTAGCAAATCTTAAGAAGTAAAATAAGCTATGGATAAAATATTTTCAGCTTATAATAAAATAATGATAATTTTAAGAAATATTCATATGCTGAGAATCTAGAAAGAGTGCAGAAAAGAGCAACAAAAATAAAAAGGGTTCTGGAAGCTGAATGATACATTGAACAGTTGCAGGAACTAGGTATCCTAGAGTAACAAAGAGAATAATTAGGAGTGACATGATGGCAGATTCCAATACTTGGGGGTTGTCATAGAAGAAGTCAACCTATTCTCCAAAGCACCTGAGCCAGGACAAGAAGTTTCAGATGAAAGTTTATCAAAGAGAGATGAAGCCTAGAATTAAGGAGAAATTTCCTGATAGTGAGAACAATTAATTAAAAGTTGAGGGTGCTCCCTCATAGAAGGTTTTCAAGAAGAGATTGGACAGCCATTTGTCTGGAATGATATAGATTCTCCTGTTTGAGCATGGGATTGAACTAGAAGATATCCAAGGTCCCTTCCAATTCTGTTATATTCTATGTTTATATGTTTCTTCAATATTGAGGTATAAAGTCATTATTATATAGGATATTACAATTTGATAAACTGTATCCTATATAATTGACAAAAATCCAATGCATTAACAAAGAATTATAATACTATTAGACATTCCCTATCAGCAATATATGAAGCATTTCAACAACTAAAAATATCTGTTTCATAATTTCCCCGAACTCTCATAACCAACTTCCTTTCTGTAACCTCCCTTCTTTTAATTACTCCAACATGAAGCAAAGAAAGTTTGGCTTTTTCTGATGAATTTAGAATTATTTATACAATACAAATAATTTCTTACTAGTTTTACGTAAAACAAAAATGCATGTTACTTATGCAGTCCAAAATCCAATCTACTGTTCCATCACCACCACATGCCAATACTCTAAAATCAGAAACATCTCAAAAAAAATGTAGTCTGAAAAAGTAAAAAAAAAAAATGAAATTATGTCTCAGAAGCTTTCTTTACTAACACATTGAATAGAATATTTACACACAGATACCCTTGCTCACTTTGGAAAAAGAACCAGCTAAATACAGCTTGCAGCAGGATGGCACATACTTCATAACAATTATAATTTTCAAATACAATGATCTATATTACAAGAGCATGTTATATAGCCTTAAGATGGTAATTACTGGCAAAAGGATATAATAAAATTAGTTTCATTATAGCATGCAGTTTATTATGGTGAGCAGTAAAATATTAATCTCCTGGGAAACTATATTTTAAGATATAAAGATTAACTGGTATGTAGAGGCCAACCAGTCATAAAGATCATCATTTTTCTGCAACCTACAGCTAACCATAAGTTTTAAACACAAATTAAAACCAAATTAAATCTGCACTATACAGTAGACATGATGTACTTCCAATGCAAAATAATTCTCTAATGTAATGAGGATGTCTGCTTTTAAAACAATATCTGTTAATAATTCTTAATTTAAATTATATCAACAGTTCAAACAGTTCAAAAATGTATATCAATGTTGCACCACAGAAGCAATTAAATATACTAGACCAGGAGTGTCAAATTACCGGCCTGTGGGCCAGTTTCATCATACCGAAGCTGCGCCCATCCCATTGCCGGCAATGCAAAAAGAGTCACAATACATCGCAACATGTCATGTGACATGGCAAGTTTGACACCCGTGTACAAGACCCATGATGAAATGAATATCTCTATATGTAGATACATTCATAAAATAATTGACAATCGAACACATTAACTTGTGAAAGGAAAAATCGAAGTAGCACATTATAGATTATTATTTTCATTTTTGGTAAATTATTTGGACTGTTCAACACCGAAATATATTTGTAATAGATGAATAACAAAAGTTCTTATTTTTTCAGTTTATAATCCCACTTAATGACAAACAGATTTAGGCATAATACAGTAATTACTTTTTCAAGAAAGACATGAAAACATTAGGTATGAAAACAAAGTAGGATGTTACTTCCAGAGCCATTATGCTCTCAGTTCATTGAACTATTGCTCCAGACATAAAATCAAAACACCCTCCAATGGCAATCAAAAGTATAAGACTCTGGGAAAAAGTATCTATTCTATACAGAAGGCAGAATAAGTATTGAAATACTATTGGAAGATCCACTGGGCAGTGAGAAAATTTTAATAATATGGTTTATAATAAATATTTGAATTTTAAATAAGTTATAAGGAGTAATCTTTATTTATCTAAAAGAAGCTTACTTCTAGTTCAATAAAATAAAATAAAATAAAAATTAAAACAAAATGGTAAGCAGGTATTTTTTTGAAGAAGCAATCCTGCTCATTCCTGCTTGGGAAATTAAATACTTATAACCCTCTGAAATAGTTCTCCTTAACTTGCTTTCTTCCATAACTCCTGGATCTCCGTAAGGATTTTGCTAGGGACTGATAAAAGTTCAATATAATTAGAAGACTGCTTCAGCAGAACTTAAAGTGGCAACGTAAGTATTTTATCAGGCACTTTTGCATCGTGATAGGCATCAGGGCAGAAGTCCTAATTTCAGACAAAAGACTATATTATATACCTCAGGATATTTTTTTGCGATCAATATAAAAACTAGATTGAATTATCCGCTACAATGTTTTATTCCTCTTTTTAAGCTAGCCAGTTTCTGGGAATAAATTTTCCTAAATGTGGACTTTTCAGTGAGCAACATTCCTAGGATGATCCTGGATTCATTCATCTACACAGTATTTAGGAACCACAATCTACCCAGATTGTAGAGACTGGACAGCCACCTGTCTGGAATAGTATAGGATCTCCTGCTTGTGCATGGGGTTGGACTAGAAGACCTCCAAAGTTCCTTCCAATTTGGTTATTCTTTTAACTGTAGCAGTAGTCAGTAGGGACAAGTGATAGCTTATGAGAGAGTGCTTGTAACTATAGGTTCCCAAATCAAATTATAAAGAACTCTCCAGTTATTTTATTTCCTCATAAAAAATATCCTCACCATCAGAAAAGGAAAATGATGGATTACATATTGCCAGAGAATTTTGATTTTGATTTTTCTCAGCAACCATAATAGTGACAATATATTCAAAATATAATTTCTTAGATATCAAAATTAACACTATTCTGCATATTTTTGCAAGTTAGTAAGAGCAATGCTTTGAGAAATAATCTAAGAATTGCATAAATATCCTCACAGCTTTAAAGAACTTAATATGAATGCAAAATATGAATGCAAAATATGAGATGCAGGTTTTTAAAATAGCATAATTTAGAAATATTTCCTTGCCAGAAAAAGTGACCTCTCTGCTTTTCACAGAGACATGCCACTGAATTGCTATTTACACAATTGTTGTTTATTTATTATATGAATATTACCTGAATTTCAGATTATTCAATGTAAATCAACTGTAGCAATTGTTGACAAAATGGTTTGCTCCTATAGAATAGTGAACAGTAAAACTCTTTTCAAAAGTAAAACAGGTGCATATTACAAACTGCACAGTGTACCAGAATGGTAATTTTCATGTCACTTTGTTAAGCAAGACTTTTTTCTAAATGTATTGTTCTATTTTACATTTATGTTCAGCTGCAGAGCCTGCATGGTTTCTGTAATTTATACTCATTTTCTCATGCTGGAATTTTAATATCAAGGTAATATTAATCAAACAATATATTTTTGTCAGTCAAATTATCACTGAAAACAATTAAATCCACAAAGCTAATACTTAAAGTTAAGCTTCAAGAAAATATACTTAGGCATTGCAAAGGGATATATTTGATTTTACGGGAGAGCCCATCTTACTGTTTCATTAAGGTTGGACTGAATTTGGTCCTTAGCAAAATAAGATGTACTGAAGAAAAAGTACCAAACTATCCTTGCAGCTCTCTTTTTCCCTCCCCCATCACCACTTCCACTTTTTAATTTTTTTTAATTCATATGTTTAATAAATATACAGTGCATCCTTCACAATAAGGATGCCACCAAACTGTAGATTTGCAGGTGGCAAAAGCAGAAATTACATAAAGCATAATGATTCTAAATTAAGTAATAATATAATTAAAATGTATTTTCAGTAATATTAAAGTAATTAAATTCATTTAATTTAAAATTCAATTAAATCAAATGTATTGATTGTCCTGCTCTTTCTCAATTTCTTGCCCTGCTCTACCTGTTTTTTGGAGTGTGACCTCTTGCTTGCCACTCAGAAGCAAATGCCACCTCAAAGGAGTAGTATAGTGTAGTCTTTGCAAAAATATTGTGAAGCAAAATGTATACCTAGAGACAAATTAGGGGTGCACATCAGAGTCCTTAAAACTGCTTTGCTCAAATAGCAATGTGACTGGTTTACTTCAGATTGTTCTGTTTCAGTCTGTTTTAAAACTTGAGAAAAAAGCTCAAAGGAAAGTTTTTTTTATATAGCTGCTGTAGGAAGGGAGAGATTCCTTTTCTGGTTGTCCTCTTTCCACTTGAAAAGAAAACTAATAGGCACTGAGGCATGCTGCAAACCTCACTCTTCATACCTTTCTTCTGATTTAGAGTAAATGAATCTACTAAATCAGGATTTTCACAATGTGTTCCATAGAATTCTATAGTTCTGTGAAAAGGTGATAAACCTCCATAAAGTTTAAGGGCAAAAAAAACAACAACCCAAAATCACATTTGAAAACAGACACATTTTTATCAACAGTTTTGCCTCTTGATTAGGGGTTCAGTATTTTTTTTTTTAACCAGCAGGTTCTGCAGCCTGAATTTTTTTTGAAAATTCCTGTACAAGCTTAGGAGGGTCTTAGTGTTGTAGCAGTAAGAATTAATTCAGCTTATTTACACTCATCCACTTTTAGGCCAAGTTAGTTAAAGTAAAAATTATGAAGAAAAATGTAGAAATAAATAAGAAATTATCTATTAAAAGTATTAGCTTAATTATAAGGCTCAGTGAAGAAATTTTAAAAAGAATGAATAAAAATAGCAATAAATTAGACTGTAGAAGTAAAATACTACTGTACATTGAAAAATTAGTCTAATTAAATCTATACTGAGAAATTACTGAAGTCAAATGCATTTTCTTATTCATTCTTAACTCAAATAGTCAGGGACTCAGAAACAGAGAAGAGCAACCAGGAATAAGATGGATGGATGGATGGATGGATGGATGGATGGACGGACGGACGGACGGACGGACAGACGGACGGACGGACAGACAGACAGACAGACAGATAAAGCTTTATTGTCATTTTTTTACTGTGGGCACATTAGCAAGCAATTTTGTTGCTTGCTTTCAAAAGTGTACACCTATATAACATTTAAACATGCTATATACAACATACATATAAACCTACACTCTTTCCTATAAATAATATATAAATATTAATCACTGTCCATCTTGAATACATAGTGGAAAGAGGAAGCTTTAGAGTTCACAAAGTTAATACTGTATGGAACAAAACTGTGACTGAATCTGGATGTTCTGCTTCGGCTACCACAAAGGTATCCTCCCAGAAGATAACAAAGAAAACAGATCACGAAGAGGATGTGTAGTGTCCCAGACATTCTTACAGACCCTACTTAAGCAACGCTTATATGCTATGTCCTGGATGGAAGGGAGCTTTTCTGCCATCCTCACCACTCTCTGCACCACCTTCCTGTCTGAAGCAGTGATGCTTCCAAACCAAACTGTAATGCTGTATGACAGGATGCTCTCAATCGTCCCTCTGTAGAAAGTGGTAAGGACAGGGGGAGGAAGATGTGCTTTTCTCATGCGATGCAGAAAATGCAGGTGCTGCTGTGCTCACTTTACCAGTGTCTTGCTGTTGAGCGACCAAGCCAGCCTGCTCATTATCTGCACACCTATAAATTTGATGCTGAAAATCATCTCCACAGGTGAATCATTAATACACAGAAGAGTATGGCTGTGCCTGCCTTTTCTGAAATCGACAATGATCTCTTTGATTTATAAATGTAAACAAAGAACAAAGGACATCTGACTCTTCAAATGAGTGAATCTGATAATGGTTATTTCATTTCTGAATAATGAACTACAATACAGGCAGAGATATTATAAACTATCAAAATAACAATATTTTGAAGAATATTCAGTAATACCCAAAGATGCAATACCTTAACCTTCCTTTCAGATATTCTTGAATATTTGCAAAGAGATATGATTGGGAAGTGATAAGAGAGGATAGAAAAACAGAGCAGCAATTCCGATCATATTAGACCTTTTAAGTAGGGAATGGCCAGAGGCAGGTTAACATATTCCTTTTCCAGTTGGCTACTGAATGTTCCAGTTAAATATCTAAGTTATATTTAAGAATGTGATCAGAGCTTTATCTGTGGAACTTGGTCCTATGAATTATGCTTTCTAGTTTTGAAACACAGCTTGACACTTGCTAGCTGCCTTTAAAAGTGACTCAGGCCTCTAAAGATATATCTCTTAGGATTGGGTTGGTATAAAGACAGAGATACAGTCAGTAGAAATAATATGTGGTCCTGACTTCTTATCTGTAAGCCTACGTTCATTGAACTAACTAGATTTATAAAGCCTCTTTGTTACTGAAAGAAATTTGTATCCAACTGATAGCCATGACAAAGAAATAAATAGTATAAATGTATGTATATGTATACACATGGACTGGGAATCAAAATTAAATTAACTTGCATAAGAAAAACACAAATAAATAAGGCTATGCAATATTGGACAGATAATTAATCAGAAGTTTTTGCAGTTTCTTTACATGTTTCAAGACTAAGTAGTTTCTTAAATGGAAAAAATAAAAATTGGAAATGATCTAAACATTTAAAAATAAATATTCACAAAACATTACTCTCTTTTGGCATTATGCTATTGTGTGTACATGTGTGATTCTTGTTTTCTTTCTTTTAAGTACTGTAAGGCTTTTAAAAAAACTTTGTTAATATATATCAAATAGAAGATAATTCTTACATTTAAAAATCCGGAAGAACTTTCAACTATGTCATCAAGCTACAGCAATATATTTCTTAAATTAATTTCTCTTCATACAATATTTCCAGAATATCATTGTGTTTTAGGCTATGTTATTTAATAAGTTCATGTTTGACAACATGCAGACTTACCCTGGCATTGATCCATTTCCTGCAAGGCTATAAACCTGACGAGGATTCAGAAGATACTGAAATTTCCTATAAATTCTATGATTGCAGATAGAAAAATATTTGAATTTTATTGGCAACAAATTTATGTTTTGGCAGTTCTACCACATAATAATATGTTGGATTAAACAAAGTCATACTACATCCCACACTATACTTACCAATGTTAATATTTTAGGATATATAGACAGACACTAACATTTATTCTGCATAATTTGTAAACAAGAGCAAAGTAAAGTAAATAAGATATCAAGCAAGACCTAGTTAAGAAAGATCTTAAATTCATTTGTACATGATGTACTGTACTGCAAACTGCTTTTCAAACTTTAGTCCATTTCAAAATCTATTTGTTATATATCAATAGCCTACTAAGCTGCAGAGGTACTATCTATGGCAAATAGAGCATACTTACAGACCCTTGAGCCTTACAACTTTACTTTTGTTATTGTTGCATAAAATTTTGGTCAATCAAATCTTTTGGAATTCTATCACTAAATGAACATTTCTCTATTTTTACAAATCTAAGAGAAGAGTCACTTTTTTAATGCCATTGTAATTGCAAATGGTCATTAAATGAATTGTAAGTCAAGGACTACTTGAATAATATATATATATAATGTTAATTAAATTAATTAAATCCATTATTCCTAGCCTGAATATGGTCCCGAAAAAGGGAAAAGAAAGTCAGGTGACTGACTTCCTTTTGGATGAACTGTAACTATCATGACTACTGGAGCAGACAACTGACAAGAGTAATTGCTTGCAATTTTAGACCAAATCAACACATCATCCTAATACCTGTACTTTTTCTTTTTTTGTTTGAATGAGAAAATGGTTAGTTGTTATTTTAAGCTGTTATTTTTGTTGTTGTTGTTTAATAAAGCCTTCCAAGGAGAAACTTTTTGCTAGATAACTAGAAAGTTGAAAGTAATGTAACTCAATACATAATGTATTTGCATTTTGGACAATGGGATCAAGGAACCAGATAGCTGAAATTAATTAATTAGAATTTAGCAAGAGATTTTAAATAAAAACACAGACTCATGGCAGACTAAATAAAGTAGAACAAAATAGTTAAGAAAGGTTAAAAGTAGCAGTAGATAACTAAGCAGCTCTATATGGACCTTAGTTTAATTTTAAAATGTCTTTTTTCAAAATCATGTTTCTGGTGAAAGGTATCTATCTTTCCCTAACAATCTTCTAGGCAATAAAAAGGGAACAAAGAAAAAAAGAAAGAAAGGAGGAAATGAAACTATGCCATCTTTTTTGTTGCTTACATCAGTGGTTCTTAACCTTTTTGAACGAATCGCCCCCTTGAGCCAATGAGGAAGTTGTCATCGCCCCCTCTCCCAACATAACCTCTCAATCACAACATAGGAAATAATTCTTCAATTTATGCAAACACTTTTTTTGTTTTATTTAAAATTGTCATCAGGTCATATTGATGCAAATAATTTATTTCCAGTCTTTTTCCCATATCTCAAGTGTGTGAAAAATTTTGGTGCCACCCATCACTTTATTCCTAAACTTCGTGATACATGTATTTCATTATTATCTTATTTATTCAAGACAGTTAAATGTAATGACCACTGAAAACAAAATTCAATTGCAAGAAAGTGAAATGCCCAAAAATAAAAACTGTAACATTTAATGATTGAATTACAAGTGAAATTTAAGACGTGAAAAGAAATATAAAAAGGGCATAAGAACAAACCACAATGCAGGAACTAAGAATTTCAAGACGAAAACTCTGAAACTAAATTAAGATTCGAGGAAACTATATATAGTCACGCACAATGTAAAAAGGATTAAAAAGACATAAAGAAAATATAATATCGAACTGGAGTGCACACTAAAAAAATACAATACAAAATGTTTTACAGAGCTACTCAGCATGCGATGTTTCGAAAGAAATGCTCCCCCTTCCATCAGATATACAGTGATTCACTGTACGAAAAAGTCTCAAAAGTGTCCCCAAAACCTTTCGCTCCATCGCCCCCATATCGCCCCCTTTTCGTTCCTTCACTCCTGTGTCTCCCCTTTTCATTCCATTGCCCCCCTGAAAAATGAAATCGCCCCCTAGGGGGCAATATCACCCAGGTTAAGAACCACTGGCTCACATTACAACTCCTACCCCTCCATGAATATGCAATATAGCTCCAAGAAATAATTCTTGTAATAATGTGGCCCTGAATAATGAAAAAGTGTCAAAGAAATAGAGACATGTGTTACTAAAAAGAGAAAGAATAATAGTAAGAAAATAAACTAAAGTGCTGATAGTTATCTATCCTTCCAAAAGGAAGACTGCAGAATCGACCAATATTTGAAGTCATGGAAAGTGTCAAAAGTAAAAAAAAAAAAAAAGGAAAGGAAAGGTGGCTGAAACAGTTTTATAACTGGGATATTTAAAAGGAATAGAAGGTCCAGAGGAGTCAAATATCCAACAGCATTATCAATTGAGCTCCAAAGATATTGCAACATAGACCCAAATAACCACAGTTAGTTATAATTAATAAAGCCCAGTTGTAATGGAACTTCAAAACTGTAGTCATAATATTTATAGGCTATATTTATTGTGATCTATAAAATAAAACTTAACAAGCCAAGAGCTTACCAAAGACAGGGCAATTTTTCAATTTGAAACATATTTCAAAAAAGGAAAGGATATAACTCTAGGTAAATAAATAAACATAGAAATGGAAACATAACCTAATCTAATTAACAAATTGGTCATAGTTCAACATCATTTTACTATTAACATTGTTCTATGTAATTAGCGTTAAGTAGCTTTGGAAAACAAAATGTAAAATACATGTATTCATTTTTTTTCTCTTCAAAAAGTAATTAAATGAATTGGTTTTCTGCCTAAATCAAACTAATGATCTTAGCAAGATCATGAAGAAACACATACCTTTCTCTTTGTTTTCCTCCACTTTTAGGGTTAACAAAAACTAGAAGTGGATGAATATCTGAAGCTGGTGTGATCTAAATTTAAAGAATTCAAAGGAAAACAATTAATTCAATTTTCTTCAGTATTTTATTATATTTTATATTACATTACTAATGCAAACATCTATGGAGATTCTCAGTCATCCAGGTCACAGTTGTCTCAAAAGTGTTTTTTTAAGAGGCAACTGGACTTTCTTGTTTTTCTTTGAAGACGTTTCACTTCTCATGCAAGAAGCTTTTCTGACAGCTGAAGAAGCTTCTTGGATGAGAAGCGAAACATCTTCAAAGAAAAACAAGAAAGTCAAGTTGCCTCTTGAAAAAGCATCTTTGAGAATACTAATGCGAACATATGCACTAAGCTCTCTACACATACAAACTAAATTTCTAGATATATTCTTTATGTGTGTGTTTGTGTGTGTGTATATATATATTTGTTTTCTGAGGTTTTTGCTGGTGTTTGTATGTAGGTCTTTGGTTATTCGGGTTTTCTCCTGCGTCAAATTGGAAGTGTCATTGCTCCTAGAAGCACAAAGCCAAAGACACCAGCCTGAAGATGACGAATGAGACTTCGTCGGAACGTCGAAGACACTTCCAATTTCACGCAGGAGAAAACCCGAATAACCAAAGACATATATATAACAATGTGGTAACAATTGTGGTACCATTGTGGTAACAATCCACAAACAATAACCCCTACACAGCCAACCAATCCACCTACAGCAACTAAGCCAGCACTCCACACACCCCCACCAATATATATAGAGAGACGGCAGCTCCGATCACACTTTGCTCACATAAGCACGAAGCCAAAGACCCCAGCCTGAAGATGACAAGTGGGACCTCGTCGAAACGTCGCCAAGATACTCTCAATCTTGCACAGGAAAAGACCCGAATATACCAAGACCTGCAAGACACACCCACAAGCAGTAAAAGCAAGAAAAGAGGAGTCATCAGTATGGAAGCCATAATTAAAAAGCAGTTAAATCAATTAGGACCTATGACAAGATCTAGGAGCCATGTGCAAATGACGGCTCACCTATAAAGGCACTCTCCCATAGACCAGCATTAACCTTGACGATGTCAGAAGTATCTGACGAAAGCTTGGTGATTGGTGATGGTATTAAACTTTTATAGTTTATTATATTCCTGGCGTTTACATTTTATTGGTAATTGACTATGGATTCACCCAGGAATCACATTTTTATTTTCACTATTCTTATCAATATATATATGTGTGTGTGTGTGTGTGTGTGTGTGTGTGTACATATAAATAAATAGAAATATATTTCTAATAACCTTAATTTTAAGAATGTACCAAAAGCTATTGCCCTTCATACATCCTTGAACTGTAGCTTCTAACAACTTTATTCTTCAGAAATGTAGGTGTTCTGTTCTGTGCGTTGGTAAGGCATTGAAACGAGGCAGGAGTAACAACAGTTGCTTCTTTATTCAAGCTTCAACAGAACAACACAAAATGGCACTGATCCCTTTTATACCCTTTTGTAGGGAACAGTGTCAGCCAATAAATGCAATGTATTTTCCCGCTTTGCGCATGCGCAATAGGCTGGAGACAGCCTGTCTGGCCCGGACAGACCACGTGGTCTGCCCGGGTCTCTCTGCAGCTTCCTGCACCTGCTCTAATCACAGGCCCAGGATATAACAATAGGCATCTACCGTTTGTATAAAATTTTATATAACACACTATTTTAAACATCACCAGTAAAATAAATCTGTCATAAATTTGCCAGAAGCATCTTGCATAAGGAAAGAGCACAAATATCCTCTTCAGATTTTATTCTTGAGCTTCCTAGACCAAATCAAATGATGCAAGAGTTTACCAAAGAAAGGACAATTATTATTAATTTTTTTGGGGTGCATTTGCATTGCTTTTACTAATGGGTTTACACACAGTTTGTTTATTGTAAACTTTTAATACTTTTGAAGTCATATTTTAAATCCAAATAGAAGTGAAAGCCCTGACTTTTTGTGAGTAAGGAAAAAAAAACACAGGTCAGGGAATTCAGACAGGATTCAGTGAGCACAATTTGGGCAATCACTGCATTGGTCAGAGGAAGATCTATTAGACATATAAGTTTCTGGGTAAATAAAATCACAGCCTTTTTCAACAACTGTCACATCTTTAATGTTTATTTAGAAATGTAATCAATGTTATTTATTTAGTTTAATTTCAGGATTGTTTATTCCTGTGAATGAAGCATAAACCAGCGGTTCTCATTGTGACAAAGATTGACTATCTCTTAGAATTCTCTATGGGTTCAGGTTAATTAATGAGACTCATCTTAAGCTTATACATGATATATTACTTCCTCTAATTAGAAATAATAAACCTGATCATTATGCTGGTTATGCTGGAAAGAAATAAGATGAATGTGCTTAACTATGATTAATAACAGTTGCACCTAAGAAGTGATCCTCTCTGTCACTGAGTTGCCTGCATAGTCCTTTATGACTATGCTTTTCAATATTTTTAGTACTAAAAAGCTTCCTTCCATAATGATTACCAAAATAGACAAATAGAAAATTATTTGTTTTTTATATGTGATGAAGAGTAGGCAGAAGAGAAAAATCTCAATTTATTGCAAGTTTTCTAAGCAAAATTAAAATAATTTAAATACATTAAATAACTTAAAGTGTCAGATATTCCAAAACATAAATCAAGATTCATATGATATAATATTATCCTTTATTAAAATGGTTGTATAAAAACATAAACACATTATGTTCCTGTATAAAATCTTTGTATGTGTGTTGTTGTTATTTTGTTTTCTTTATTCTTTTTCTCCTTTCTCCTTTTTCTTTTCTGCTTAATCAAAGCATTTTTTTAAAAAAATGTTCTTTTTACTTGTTGCAATGAGGATATTACAGCATCTATATTGTGATATTTTTTTTCTGTTGAAACACAAGCTATTCTAGAATCTTAGTATCCTGGGATACTGCAACTGTCATAAATATATGCTGCTTTTCAAATGCCTATATAGTTATTATGTGACAGCAGGGAACCTGCAATGGTCATAAAAGTGAGCACTGGTCATAAGGCACTAATTTTCAAGTGCCATTGAGACTTCAAACAGTCACTAAACAAATTATCATAAATTGAGGACTTCAGGTACACAATTTAATCCCTACTTCAGCTTTATTTAAGAGGAAAATATTTTATGAGTACTGTACATTTTTTAAAAAACAATCTTTGTATCAAATAATAATTCAGCCAATAATGCAATGTATAGGGTGACATAACAAAGTCAACATGCAAGTGGGCTCTAAAAATACAAACTCCACATATACAAAACTGGGGTTTCAATTGGCAGCAACTGATCAGGAAAGGGAGGACATCTTCATAGTAGATAACTCAAAATATATCAGCCCAAGATAAGGATATAGGGGGAGAAAGACAAATTTCATGCCAAAAATCTTTATTGCATATAGTACACTATAGATTTATATATAAATACTGTACATGGAATAGTGTACTGTGTACAGTTCTGAATAACAGCAAATAATAAGATATTTGGAAGTGTACCCCTATAATGAATAGCTATTTCAATGGTATTTTTTAGCTTAGAAAGCCAGTGAGCAAAAGGAGAAATAACAACACATGGAAAATATAGGCAAGCGTTTATCCAACTTCCTTAGAATCATCAATTAACTCACATTCCAACCCAAAAAACAACAGAAAAAGAACAAATCAATATCAAAGAGGATTCTAAACAACAACAACTACAATTTACTGAGAACTTTGACAGTCAAATCTTGATTTCAATTAAAGAACCTGCAATTCAACAAGCAACTGAAACTGAAGAAAGCAATACTAAGATGGAGGATGCTAAAGATTACCAAACATGACATCTGGTTTTGGGTTGCAGTGGCTGCAGACACACGAAGAGACTTCTCTTTTCGTTATCTGCTTTTCCTCTGCAGGTAGACCCTTAATCAGGTCAAAAAGTCACCCTGGAGGGGTGACTACCGATGAGGAGGAGTCTTGTTGATTGTGGGGGGAGGAGGCAGCACCTTCCACGGTCCAAGGCAGTTCCTCAGGGCCGATACAGAAAAGATCAGCCAGTAAAATAGCCGATCACTTAGCTGCTCCAGCCGAAAGTCAAAAAACATCTAAGCATTTAGAAACCATTGTGGATGATCCCAGTGAGACTTTTCCCTCTCTCTTTTTGCCTAACTACTCTCCTGTTAAAAGCCTTTTGGAATTACTTCCCTGCTTTGAAAGAGCTGCCTTTGTTTGTCTGGGGATAAGAGCTTTCCATAACAAAGGAAAAAAACTTCTTATTGACTATTTTTTATTTTTGGTTATTTGGGGGCCCTGGAAAAAGCCTTATCATAAAACTTTATTATTATATCTTCTAAGCTGCAGAATATTGTTTTCCTATGTCTTGGGACTTATTTTTTTAAAGGGATAAATCTTTATTGTTTGGGGGGGAAAAACCACAACTCTATGAGAAGCCAGAAAAGAGATTCCACAGTTCTTTGACTTTGCTAATCTCATTCTTTGTGTCTGGAAGAGACTTTCATAGTTTACTGGGGACATCTTGTGAAGAAATTTAAAACTGCAACTGTTTCTTGTTGTTGTTTTTTTTTTTTGTCTAACAGCTGTTATTGGTGGGGGTGGATACTGACTAAATATTTTGGAATATAGCCTCCACTAAAAGATAACAGGATTGGATTTTAGTTACTACTGAAATGGAGAAACCATATTCACAATTCAACTGTAAACTCATACTGGAAAAAATTTACGAAGCTACTGAGGAAATATGTTCCCAAATAAGAGAGAGAACTGCAGAAATAATAAACAGAAATTCTACTGTGAACTTACAAACTGACCTTCAGACTCTATTTGATCATTCTATAGACCAAAAAGGAATTAATTTAGATACAACCTATGGAGACTTTGAATTACCAAAAAATGATTGTAATTAAACTATCTACAATTGCAAAACTAACAGAAATGGACTTGAAATTACAACTGTTAGAGAATTATGACAACTTTGATAATCAACTACTAATTA